GTGACACTGCCCTCCACAAAACAAAAGAAAAAGAAAAAAAGAAAACTTTGGGGTGGGCTGGTGGGATGGCACAGTTGGTTAGAGTGCAAGCTCTGAGCAACAGTGTCGTTGGTTTGATTCCCACATGGGCCACTGAACTGCGCCCGAACTGAGCTGCTGCTGAGCTGCCAACGGGCAGCCAGATGGCTCAGCTGGTGAGAGCGCATGCTCTTAACAACAAAGTTGCCGGTTCGATTCCCACATGGGATGGTGGGCTGTGCCTCCCACCCGCAACTAAATTGAATGTGGTGACTGGACTTGGAGCTGAGCTTGCGCCCTCCACAACTAAGATCAAAGGACAACTTAACTTGAAGCTGATGGGTCCTGAAAAAACACAATGTTTCCCTTCTCCAGTTCCCCAACACTGTTCCCTTCCCCAAATCCCCAATAAAACCTTAAAAGAAAAAAAAAAAGAAAACTTTGGGGAAGGTATTGTGGTTGTGTCAGGGTCATCGAGAGACAGCCCTGGAGCTAGTGATCCATCAGAGTCAGCGTGGTCCAGATTTATCCTCTCAGCTCCCCCAAGGGAGCACACGGGGTCTTTTGCTGGAATCCCCATGCCACACCTCCAGGGACAGCACTCCCTCACACCATGCACAAATCCTTCTTCTCTCACCCAGCAGGGGCAGACCAAAAATAAAGGGTGGGAGTGGGGGATGGAGTGGGACTTCAGGTTAAAGGCACAGTGATTGAATGTCTGCTCCCTCTACAGCCTGCTGGGGCCACCCGCATGAACCTTATAACTCCATTACTGTCACCCCTGGGGAAGATGCCACAATGCCTGTTGTCCCCATCACTTTCACTTCAGAGGTGACCTTACAGCCCTCTGGCTGGGTCAGACAACCTTCCAGGAGGGCTGTAGCTGAGGGCATCCTACTGATGATCCTCTGCTGAGCCATGATGGGGCAGAGGACAGATTAGTAAAGAGGACCCAGTGATGGTAAATGAGGACAGCTTTTAACTGGAGGAAAAAAATGTGTGGGACCCCCACCCCAGGTCAGTGGAGGGGAGCAGCTGGACTCAGAAAGGGCTTTCTTATGTGTCCCCCATTGGCCCTGCCACACACATACACACACACCTGTCCACGTTGTCACACACCTCTCCCATGCATTCAAACACATGCCACCACAAACCTGTGTTGTCACACGCATATACCTACACACCCGTAGGCACAGACGCACACACACTCACCGTTGGACATTCGAAGCTCTATCCACAGCTTCGCCACCTCCTCCTGGAGTCTTTCCAGTGAATTCAAGACTGTGTGTCTCTCGTTCAAGCCTTGGGTGGTTGGATGGGGGCAGTGGTCACAGACAAGCTTGTGGGTCCTCCTGCTCCCTCCCCACCTCTGGCCCCTCCCAAGCCTCACCCTGGGACTTGAGGTTGCTCAGATCTTCAAGAAGTCCATACAGGTTCTGGGAGAGCTCAGAGTCTGATGGGGGTGCAGGACAGGTGTCAGGGGTGATGCTTGCAGGCCTCGTGGTCCCTGTGGCTCTGGGACTCCGCCCCCCCACCCTGATCTCTCACCCTGAGTTTTCATTTTCTTCTGTTCTGCTCCGATTTTCTCCATGTTCTGCAACATCTGGGAAGCTGGTTGCAGGGGAGGAGGCTCAGTGGTAAGCAAGCCCCTCAAGGCTACCCCCACCCCCCACTGGCACCCTTGGCCTCTTAGCCTGGGGCTTTAGGGCCACCTGCTCATTTTGCAATTCACAGGTGGTCTGGAGCACCGTATACCCATGTTCAGCTAAGTCCCCTCCTCTCTTCCCAGACCCCCAGCTGAAGTCACTTACCCTGGGATTTCTGGGCCATCTGGTCACCTGTGTGTCTTTCCAAGTCCTTGGAAACCTGAGAGACTGGGGTGGGTGGGGGAAGGGAAGATGTAGCCTCAGGAGCCAGGCAGGCAGGTCCTTGAACCCCCCACCACTCCCCCCAGTCCCAAGTGCAGGGGCCCCCCCTCACACAGTCACAATGATTGCAGCTTATTGTTTTTAATTTTGGAGACAAAAGTACTCAGGAAATTGCAGGCAAGAATAGAATGAATTTGTGTACCCTTCCCCCACTCAGAAATAAATATAAAAGCAGCGGACATTTATTAAAATCTCACTGGACGCCAGGTGTTTTCTAAGTGCTTCCCAGGTCTTAGCCTGTTTCCACCTCAAAGCACTGAAATGATGCCCATTTTACAGGGACTAACCGAGGCACGGAATGGTTAGGTAACATTCCATCAGGCACTTCTCAGAGTACCCCCCTCCAAGAGTTGCTGAGTTTTTCCCCCACCCAGGGACGGGGGAGGATAGGCTGACCCTCAGTTCCTGGGGAAATAGTGGAGCCCAGTCCTTCTCCCACGTCCCACAGTGGTGAGTGGCAGAAGCAGGACAAAGTCTGGTGTCCTAGCCCCCTTCTCCCACCCTGGCCCCTCCATACTGTTCCAGGCAGCCGTCTCTCCCAGCTGTTTCAGATTCCGCTCAGTGTCCCAATCTGGGCAGGAGGAGAAAAGAGGAGGGGAGAGGAAGGGGTTTTTCATCCACCCACACTTCACCTGCCAGCTGGGGATGGAGGCCTTGGGTATATCATGTGGGAGGTGCCCAAAGGGTGGGAGCCAAGGGGTACTGGGTGGGAGTGAGGGCAGGAGGCTCTTGAGAGTGGGGAAGTTGACATGAGAAAGGGCCGGCAGGGACAAAGTGGGAGATGTGATGAGGGAATTGGGCTCCCAGGGATGTGCTGGGCTCCCCAGGATCTGAGAATGGGTGTCTGGGAAGGAACACAAGAGGGGGGTGCCACGTGGGGCTGGAGATGTCCTCACGCCACAGGAGAAGCAGGGTCAGCAGTCCGGTCCACAGTGCTGCGGTCAGCAACCCCAACAGGGCAACCTGTATCCCCCGTCTGCAGCACGGCTGATGTCTTCTGTGAAACTTCAAAACCTCTATGGGGAATAGAGAGAGCGACGAAGGGTGCAGGATGAGGCTGGACTCCAGCTCTGCCTGTCTCCCCATTACCCAGAGCCCCAAAGTCCTGGGAGCCTGTCCAGAACACACTGAAGCAGAGGGTCTTAGTGGACCCCCAACCTCCTCTATACATCTCCCCCTCACTCTATCTATCTTTCATGTCCATCAGCCCTCCCCTCTCCCGCCACCCAACCTTTGTATGTCCATCTCTGCATCTGTGCATATCTGAGTTCGTCCCTTTGCCCATCCAGCCCAATTTCTTCCACTCCTGTCCACACTCCAGCCATCAGCAAGCCTGACTCTGTTCAGATATACACGCCCTGGGCCAGGAGCTGAGACCCCTCCTCCATGGGCCCCCTCCTCAGAGGGCTGACCCTCACCCAGCTCTCACCTGTGCCCCTCCTCCCTTTTATAGGTTCAGTTATCCCGCCCCAATGATTGCTGGGTCCCCAGCCTCACTCCCAGAGGTGGGGTCCTCCCTCCCCTCCTACCCCAGCCCTCACACTGATGCTTGCCTCTCACCCTGGGCCCCTTCCCTAAACACAGGACAGGGGAGTCTCAGTTCTTCCCCCATATCTGAGACCTTCTCTAGCCCTTTTCCCAGGTGGCAGACCCCCTAGTTCTCACCTTAGCTCCTTGGCCCCCCAAAACTCTACCTTGATGCTCCACCGCAGGTTCAGATCCCTTCCCCCCTTCCTGGCTGGGAGGGTTCATCATGCTGAATTCCACTTGGGTTGAGTCCCTGTCCCACTGGTCTCCCACTCTATTGGGCTCCCAGTGACCCAGTGGGAACGGGGTTGTTTTGGTGGTAGTAGTTGGGAAGATGTTGAGTCAGAGAAGGGAGGTGCCCTCGGCTTCCCTTTTTGCCTGGCTCTGTGCCCTGAAGGCCACTTGGGGCTTACCCGCCTGCTATAGTGGGCCTTCCCTAGAAATTCACTCTTCTTTCCCGAGAGGGATCCCGGAGCCCCTCTCCTCTCCTGGGTGGACGGTAGCAGGTCAGGATTCTTGCTTTTACCTGTATCAGCTCCAGAGATACCTCTCACCTGAGTATGAACTTTCCTCCATGGAAGCCTTGCTTGGATCTTCCCAGTGACGGGGTGCTCACCACCTGTCAAGGCAGTCCACTTGACAAGCACAGTCGCAGCTCCAGCTGGGATCTGGGTTCGAACAAGGGTTAGGGTTATATCAGACTCGAGTTACTGTCACAGGAAAGCATCCTGGGCTTGAGAAGCTCCGTGACCATTGGCTGATTTTGTTTAGTTCAAAGCTGGGAGTCAGTGTTGCAGTTAACAGGGAGACCCAGCTGGTGTGGAGGGTCACAGGCCTGAGACCATAGGCGGGTGCCCCAGAGCTCAACACATGCAAGGTACACAGCAGGTGCTCAATAAATGTGCACCTATGTGATCTTGGCAAGTGGCTGAGCCTCAAAACCAATTTCCTCATTCATAAAATGATGATATTAATAACACTGACACTGTAAGGTGGTGGTTGACTCTACATATAACGTGCTTTGAACAAGGCCCAGCACATAATGAACCCCCAGACTAGCCTCAACTCTTTACTCTTGCTGCCTGTGCAAGCTCAGCCCAGGACTCAACCTTTCTGAGTCTCAGTTTTTCCCTCAGTAAAATGGGGGCTATGATAGTACCCAGCTCATGAGGCCGTGGTAGGTTCAAATGAGATAATAATGTACGTGAGTCTTGTGGCACAGTGCTGCACACAGTGAGTCTTCACATACTAAATGTTTAGCAGGCATCTACTCTGTGCCAGGTCCTGCTGGGAAATGCAGAGACTCTGTCACCAGGCATTAGCTTCCTCCTCTGCCAACCTGCTCAAGATGTCTTTAAAGCCGCTTGACTTTGAAGCACCTACTATGTGCTGAAGAGCATGGGCTTTGGGTCGGACAAGCCTGCGGGTCATTGGCTGCCCCTCTTGCTATGTGACTATGGACAAATGGCTTCCCTTCTCTGAGCCTTGGGGAAATGGAGGTGTGGGGCAACCAGGCTCTGATTACCGGCAGCTCAAACTGGATCTTTGGCCATCCTGGAGGAGGCCAAGGGTGTCATCATCCTGCGGCTGTACATGCCTGAGTCCAAGCCAGCCAGACCTGGGGCTGAGTCCTGGCTTCTCTCTGGATGAGTTACTCAGTCTGCTCATCTGTAAACTGGGGGTGAGCGACAGCACTGACTCCACCAGATGAACTAGGATGGGGTGTGCAAGGTGCTGGCACACAGTAGGTGCTCAGTAAACCTACTGGTGGGGTGCTGGGTAAACTGAGGTACTGAGAGGGAAAGTAATTTTTCCCACATTCCAGGGGTGGGACCGGGACTCAAACCCAAGACCTGGAGCTTGTTTGCTCAACTACCTGGGGACATGGCCTCCTGGTGGGTGCTGCTGGTGAGTACCAGGACAGCAGGGTCCAGGAGCCGGGCCATCTCTCTAATATGAGAGCTCCTGCCTCTGCTTATGACCTTCCATGGCTACCCAGAGCCCTCCACTATCAGCTCCCCAGTGCACACGCCAAACCCATCTTTTCTACTTAGTCATGTCAATTGGCTGGCTTTTACTTCACCTAACCAGGTCCCCACACACCTGGAAATTCTGCCCATGCTGCCCATCGCCCACTGCCCACTGCCCTCCTTGCATGCAGACCACCTCCTGGTCATTCCTCGAGGCTCAGTACAGAGCTCATTTCTTCTAGGAAACCAAAGTCCACTTCCCACCACCAGCACCAATGTGCGTACACACACACACACACACACACACACACACACAGAGAGTCACATACGTGCACACACATTCACACACACACTCAGAGGCACTCACACACAGACACACAGTTGCCACACACATCACACATTCATACTCACATGAGTTTTGTGCGTGTCACTGTCCTGGTCTGTTGGGGCTGATGGGAGAGGTCACAGAGGCCACAAGCTGTGATGAGGAGTTGAACCTGGAGGCACACTTTCTTCTGAAAGCAGGCTCACCCCCAGCTTCTATTTTCACAGACCTAATTATGGGCTCGCCACCCAGATAACCGCATTACACACATGGCTTCCTCTGTGCCCACAACCCGGTAAAGTCCGTACTATTATTATCTGTATGCCTTAGGTGAGCAAACTGAGGTTCAGAGACACCAACCCACATTCCCAAAATGCTGAAGGAGATAAGTGGTAGAATCAGGATTTGGACCAAAATGACTAGGAAGGAAGAAGAGAGAGAGCAAGAGGGGAGGAGGAAAGAAAAAGAAAGATACATAAGATATGATAAGATTGGGGTCAGATATTGGCAATTTTGTTGTATAGTTTAATTTAGTAGCAACACGTGCTAGGCACAATTATTTTTTCTTTTTCTTTTTTTATTTTTTTATTTTTTTTATTTTTTATTTTTTATTTTTTTCCAAAAATGTTTTATTCCACACAGAGGGGCTGGGGCTCAGTCCTTCTTGGCTGCTGCCTTCCTCATGGCTGCAAGGACATTGCTCAGCTCCTCTCTCTTCCTCTTGGCTCGGATGTGTGTCCCCACCCTTTTCTTGATGAACTTCAGGGCCCGCTTGTCCTTAGAGACCTTGAGCAGCTCCATAGCACGCCGCTCATAGGGGGCAAAGCCGCACACCTCCCGGATCATGTCCCGCACGAATTTGGTGTGTTTGGTGAGGCGCCCGCGGCGGCGGCTGTGTCTCTGCTTGCTGACGTTCTTGGTCACCTTGTGGCCCTTGTTGAGGCCCACGGCCATGGGGTAGCGCAGAGCCATGGCTGTCTCTCCTCAATGGCTGCCGCGGCTAAAGGCTCTTTTTCTTTTTTTAAATTGGGGAATCGAGGGAGAGGAACAGTGTTGGGGAATTGGGGAGGAGGACCAGCCAAGTTGTTGTTCTTCAATCTTAGTTGTGGAGGGCGCCAGTCACCAACTGGCTGCCCATTGGCAGCTCATGGCCTCTAAGCTCAAGGTGCTGTGTTAACAATCTTAGTTGCGGGTGGGTGTAGCCACCATCCCATGCGGGAGTTGAACCAGCAGCCTTGTTGTTAAGGGTGCACTGCTCTATCCACTGAGCCATCTGGCTGGCAGTTCAGCTCAAGGTGCCAAGTTCTGTCTTAGTTGTGGGCAGATATAGCCCACCATCGAACAGGCAGTCTTGTTAGGAGCACGTGCTCTCACCATCTGAGCCATCTGCCATCTCTTGGCAGCTCAGCAGCAGCTCAGCTCAGGTGCAGTGTCACTGGCCCATGTGGGAATCAAACCGGCGGCCCTGTTGCTCAGAGCTCGAACTATTAAGCCAACTCTTAACCAACTGAGGCACTTAGCCAGCCCTAGGCACGGTTCTTGGTGTCTTAGGTGCAGTCACACATTTAATATTCACAATCACCCTATAAGATAGATGCTTTTGTTATCTGTACTGCCTTATGGATGAAGGATGTTAAGCACAGAGAGGTTAAGTAACTTGCCCTAGGTCACACAGCTCACAAGTGGCAGAGAAAGGATTTGAACCCAGGCAGCGTGGATCCCAAGTCTCAGCCCTAGCCATGATGCCACCTAGCCTTGAATTCTCAGGGGCTCCTTGGCACTTTGCCTACCTTGCTCTTGCTGCCCATACCATGTCTCCTGATCTTTAAATCCATTCTCACTCTTGACTGGGAATGCCCAACGCCAAGGCCCCACTCCTGGATGGGCCACCTCCTCACCCCAGGCTTGACACCCTGTCTCTTGTTCTGGAAGATGCCCACCTGTTCCCCAGTGTCCCACCTCCCAACAAAGACTGAGTAGGACTCTCCACCAGATAGGAAGGAGCCTGGCTAGAATGTCCCCTGGACCATGCACTCCAGGACAGCAGGGACGGTGCTGCCTTGTTTGTCACACTGTTCTCAGCATGGAGATGCATAGCCCTCTGTACATGTCTATTGAATGAATGAGTCTGGTGGGCTGGGGCTGCTCATTCTGGGCCCTCCAAATGTTCCTCTCAACCCTTGATCTGGGCTAATTGTGGGGGCTTGAACCCATTGCATGGTTTGCCACATGATAGAGGATAACCATTTCAAGTAGGAGAGAGAGTTGTCAGGTGGGCATCAGAGAGGGGTCACTGGGGGCTCTGGGTGGACAAAGGACAGCAGGAGGCCTAGAAGGACCCGGGGAGCTGTCATGGGGAGCCAGGCAGGAGGCGCACCTTGGGAGGGATATTTTTGGAGGGCTTGGCTGGAATGGAGACATTGGGGACAGGAGGACTGTCATCTGGTGCAGGGGCCAGAGGAGGTAGCCTGGAGCAGCGGCTATGGTGATGGAAGGAAGCGTGTTGTTTTGAGAAGAGACGGGCCTTGGTAACGGGTGAGATGTGGGGATGGGTACTCGCAAGATGCTGTGAAAAATGACGGGGTCTCAGCCGAGCGGCTGCATGGAGAGTGGGGCTATCCTAGCGATGAGGACACAGGAAGGAGGAGGAGAAAGTTGGAAGCAAGTCCCGTTGGGCCCAGTGAGGATTCAGGACAGGGTCCGGATAGAGGATGGGGCTTGATTGGATTTTGGTGTTCGCAGGTGTCCACTCGCCCTGGCACCAGCCCACACTCAGTACCATGTCCTTCCAAGGCCCCATGGCCCGGTCCATGCTGGGTTCCTGCCAACATCCAGTTTAGAAAAGAGGATGCTTTGGGGGTGAAATCTCAACTGAGGACCCTATCACGCGATCGCTCCCTCCCTCTTCCCCTCTGTGGTATCAACCCATGGTCTCATTCACTTCGGGGTTGAAAAACAGGAAACCGTGCGGATGTGGGCCGCGATCTGAGGCTGTCGGTTCTTCTTTCAGGTTTAGGATCCTTGATCCTGGGGCTGCACCGCGCTCATCACCAGTCCTGGATTTCACTCAATAAGAATGAGTCAGGGGTCCAGCAACGACCATTCACGGTCCCCAGACAGGATCCAACTCCAGCCTCAGCTCCACCCCAACCCGATAATACTTGGCTCACCAGTGCTTGGATCTCCACGATGAACCTGCGCTCCGTGCGGAGTAGAGCCGGATCCACAGCGCTAAACCCAGAACCTCAGCACCTGGGACAGGGACTGGCACCAACTGCAAATGTGAAGAAGGAACCTCTCCACCTGGCACAGCCCCGGGGTCATCCCACCTGTTTAATCTCTCCATGTGTTGCGGGGGGGGGGGGGGTGTGTGAGGTAGTAGGTGTGTCAAATTCAGGAGGGCTTCCAGGAGGAGATGTCTCTAAACCCTGGGTTTCTCATTCTTGGCACTGTTGGCATTGGGACTGGATGATTCCTGTCTGTGGGGGCCTTCCTGTGCAGGATGTTTGGCAGCATCCCTGGCCTCTACTCACTGCTGCCAGTAGCACTCCCCCAGTCATGACAACCAAAATGTCTCCACACATTGCTTAATGCCTCCTGCAGGGAGCAGAATCACCCCCATTTGAGAACCACTACTTTGAAGCACGGTTTATAGACCAGGAGAAGGTGCTGGCTTCAGGCTTCAACATACTTTCATTGTTTCTCTGTCTCCATCTATCTCTCCATCTTCTGTTGACAGATCTCTTTCCTCTTTCATTCACTCAACAAGCATTCATTGAGCACCTACTGTGTGCCAGCATCTGGGAACAAGGTAAAGTTCCAGCTCTCCTGAGGGAGGAAAACAAAGAGTTCTATTCTTAATTGTAGTAAAATATACATAACATGAAATTTATCATGTTAATCATTTTTAAGTGTACGGTTCAGTGGCATTAAATACATTCACACTGTTATGTAACCGTCCCCACCATCCATCTCCAGAACTTTCTCATCTTTCCAAACTGAAACTCCATCCCCATTAAACACTCACTCCTCTCCCCAGCCCCTGGCACCACCATCTACTTCCTGTCTCTATGAGCCTGACTCCTCTGGGGACCTCCTATAAGGGGAATCACACAGTATTTGTCCTCCTGTGTCTGGGTTTTTTTCAGTGATCACCATGTCTTCAGGGTTCATCCATGTTGTAGCATAAGAACAAAGGTTGAAATCTATAAATCCACAGGATAATTTTAGGTGGTGGAAAGCAGGGTTGGAGGTACCTTGGGGAAGAGCTAGTTTAGACGGGAGGATTAAAAAACCTATGGGATGGGAGGGGATCGCTGAGCAGGCCACTCTGGGAGAAGCAGGAGTTGCAGCTGGATTTTCATCCTCAACGTTCCACCCTGCCTCCCCTGGTCTTCCCCTGGGTTCTGCAACCTTGAACTCATGAGCTGGTGCCCTGCCCCCTCCCAGCCAGGGGAAATCCACAACATCCTCTCCCAGAGGTGCCAGGTCCTGGAGAGGTGCCAGTGGCTTTTCGGCCTCCTCTGACCTTGACTGTGTGGCTTAAGCAGTGTCTTCCCTTCTTGGCCCTCAGTTTCTCACACAGAGAAGGGCACTGTACTCTTGGCCCTGGCAGGCCTGAAGTCTTATAACCTCTTGCAGAGACCCCAGTGCTGTGGGGAAGTGGGAATTCCGGAGAACTAGGGTTGGGCCCAAGTGACAGCTGCTGTGACTGAGTAGGGTAAGGGTTGTAGAGTGTGGGGGTCTCCAACATGTAGACACACAGATACACACACACACAAACACACACACACACACAGAGTAACACAACACCATCACCTGCAGAGTCACACACATAGAGACCGACACAGGCACTATACACAACTAAACCACAAACACATGTACAACACACACACACACACACACACACACACACAACACAATACAATGAAAACAGAAACAGATACACACAGACATTTACACCACACACGCACAAAGATTTAGACACATAGACAAACACAACACAATCCAACTACAGATATGGACACAACACAAAACCACACACACACCACATGTACAGACACAACTCAGAGACAGCTATACAACACAGACAAAGATACAGACCACAGGACACAGCCCCCCCCCACACATACACACTACATTACAATGGACACACACACGACATACACAATGCATGCACACAGATACACACAGAAATACAAATATATAAAAACACAGACACAACACAACCCACCACACACACAACACAATAAAACCACAGATACAACCCATAGACATTGATACAACACATACACAAAGGTACAGACCGCGTGACACAAGCAAACCACAGATGAACAACCACATGCACACAGACACAACACACACAACACATACACAGAGAAACATAGAAACATAGATACAGACACGTCCATAGGTTCCCACACAAGTACACACAAAGTACACTCATGTCATAAACGCAGATATAGACATCACACAATTGGACTACAGATACAAGACAGACATACCCAGTGTGCATACAGATACACACAACACAATCACATGCACAAACGCATAAACACACACATATAAATGCACAGAAACGTACACACAAACAAAATGCACACACACAGAGACACACATGAGCCCTTTAGCAGGCTTTTGCAGAGCTGATGGAGGGCTGGGTGCACAGAAGCGGCGCCCCTCCACCAGAGACCTCCTGCTCAATTCTGCTCTCCCTGCACTGCAGGCCTCAGTTTCCCCTCAGGACCTCTTGCTTGCTTTGTTTCTTTACAACCCCTCGCTCTTCAATCCCCCCAGTCCTTGCTGACTCCCTACACCTCTGTGTTCAGCCCAGTCACAGCTCATGAGCTGCATTTGTTCATGCATTGATTCACTCATTTATTCATTGATTCACTCATTCATTCACTGAGGCACTGGACATTGTACTGGGCACTGGGGCTGTAATAGTGAAAGAGCTGGACAGAAATTCCTGCCATTGGATCTGCCGTTGCCTCCAGGCAGACAG